AAAAAAAAAAAATCTCCAAACTTGACAGTAAGAATGAAGCCCTATAACTAAACGATATTCACTACTCCTAGCAGAGAAGCCTGAAAATTCCAAGAAATCAACATTCTAATAAACTCAAAACTAACTCTTTATTAATAAAATAAACTCAAAACTAGTTAATTGATGCAACGCATAGATCCTCCATTAAGTTGCCCCTTATCTTCTCCCTCTTCAAACAATGAAGGGGATGCTCTGTCCCACCAGACTAGCACTAAAATCATATAGAGCATTTCAACGAAAACAAAAGAAAAAGAAAAAGGAGAAGGGGGAGAGAGAAAGCATCTGAATACCTCATCTGTGGATCCAAATCGATTCTTTACTGAACGAAGTAAACGATGAGATGAATACTTCTCTCCCTGCAATTTCAGGGTTTGAACCCGGGCATTGATGAGAAAAGGATATGGAATAATACAAAAAAAAAAAGAATAAGAACCTCCTAAAGCAAAAATGCACAGAGAAAATTGTTCTTCTACGAAGGATGCCTAGTGCTCGGTCTGGAAGAACTGACTCCGAACACATTAGATTCTAAATGCAGCCAAAAGAAAATATGCACAGACATGATAAATTACTATCTCAAATGAGTAAAACGGCCATACAGAGAAGCCAAAAAAGCCATACAAATTATAAAGGATATGCCCACATTTTCAGGGGCTCTGAATAAATTGACCAAGCACAAAAAAAGCATTCTACAAATTATCACTAAAAAGAAACATGCACTTTACGATACAGCATCTCTAGCATAAGCACAATGGTTTACCTTCACTGTAAAAAGCCATATCAAAACCTCTTTTTCCTCTTTGAGATAAACAAAGGCCACAAAAAAACATGTGTACTTACATGGCAAATAACATCACAGGAGGAGATACTACTCAAAACTGAAATTCAGACAGTACTTACTTCCATATAAAGAACAACATCAACTATGTGTTCCAAGACGCGAACAGTACTTACTTCCATATAAAGAACAACATCAACTATGTGTTCCAAGACGCGAACAGTACTTACTTCCATATAAAGAACAACATCAACTATGTGTTCCAAGACGCGAACAGTACTTACTTCCATATAAAGAACAACATCAACTATGTGTTCCAAGACGCGAACAGTACTTACTTCCATATAAAGAACAACATCAACTATGTGTTCCAAGACGCGAACAGTACTTACTTCCATATAAAGAACAACATCAACTATGTGTTCCAAGACGCGAGGCCCAGCTATTTCTCCAGATTTAGTCACATGTCCAATCTGAAGATTCCCGAGTTTAATATCAGATCAACAGATAAATAACTGGCAAAGAGAAGGAAAGAAAATTTCTATAAAACCAGACAAAGATTCTGGCAGCTGAAAGCATATGAATTCTAGTTACGCATAAGTTCATAACAGAAAAAGAAAATTTCTCCATCAAGAACAATATATCCTCTGATAAGTTCGAATGACAAATAAAGGTGAAACTCCTCTTATTAATTTTACCTCCGTAGTTTTCTTTTAAATCAATTGAAAGAATTTAATTTGCTTTTTGCAAAGGAGGAGAGGACAAGAGGGTAATTAAATAAAGCCATCCAAAGTGACAAAAAAAGATGAACAACCTTGAATTAAATTACTGCAAGAAATTTAATCAACCAGATGTATTTAAGTTAAAGCACAACGTTAATAGTCCACCCTCACCAGAAACACAGGGATATTGGTCTTCTTGGCAAATCGCAGCAATGCTTCTGTGCATTCTTTTACCTGTCAAGAATGAATCAGTATCAAGTATAATGACTCAACACTGTTTTGACAAGCAACTAAATGGTTGTCTATTTCATTATTTACAAAAGAGTAAACCAGAGCTTTATCAAGTCATCCTTAAGAGACAGATTCTATCCTGAAAATTCTGGTAGAACAGCTGCCTTGAGACAAAAAGACTTATTTATAGGAAACTCCCTCACATGAAAGCTATTAATAACAAATGAATAGAGAGCAACCCTTCCCATTCAAATGGATAAAAAACTTGGATGAACTCTCAATTAAAATTTACTATGACAAAAGAAAGCATAGCACAAAACAGTGAACCTGCGATAGACCTCCTGCACTTCCAGTTACTCCTCTCAGATAAACTGTCTGGATGGAATCAATTATCAAAGCTCGCAGTGAGAGGGTTTGGGCCTTCTCCAGAATATCCTGAATAAAGACAGCAACATGGGATAAAACACAAACGCATCAGATGTATTCACTTTAAGCATATGTTCAGTATTATATCTCAGTCTGCAACCTTCAAGTAGTCCAGGTTATTTTTTGAACAAATGCGCGAAGGACCTAGCTTTTCACAAGAGAAGACGAAGCACACAAACTAATACAAAGATATTTTTTATCATTGACATAGTTTAACCGACCTACATTTCATTAAGTGAACTTTTTTTATCTGCGACATTTACACATTATTCTTACAACAAATTGCATTTTTAAAGATTAAAAAGATAAAAATATCGATCTATTCTCTTCTTTCAGTTAGATGTAGAAATTTCGGCTAAACGTCGGTAACAACTAAGAATATCAGAAGTTTGTTCAAAAAATATAATAAAAGTACAACTACTAAGATATTTTGGTAAATACATGCAAGGTAATATACTCCCAACTTTATGTTCTAGGGTAGGCAATATCAGTTTGTCTCCAACTGAACAAAGACTGCAATAACAAAGAGATAGTGGATGATTTATGTGATGAAGTATCGAGGATGATTCCTAAATTCAAGCTTTTTAATTACTATGAGCCTTAAAAGAATACTAAAGGCCTATAAGGTGAAGTGCTTGCATAGTATAACAAAGAGATATGAGGAAATCACTAGCAAGGAAAACATGGTTTGTGTTCTCATTAAGACCTGCAATTGTTAATCAAAGCCTCTGCAATAATAAAAGGGTAACTATGTACATAGCTGAACAATGCACATTAATCAAACTGAATTCTTAGAACCACTAATCAGTTCCCATCTAAAGGTTCAACTTAGAATCTTCTTCTTCTCATATCTTCTGCTGTCTACCCTGCATGTTTATGCTAATTAACCTAGCACCCAAGTTTGCATTGTCGAAGTCAGGCTAGTTGTCTAAGGCTCAACTTGCTACGCTTTCGAAGGGAAAAGGGGCGGGAAGGGCCTCATACTTCATATTTTAAACAGCATGTAAACACAAGCCAATGGGAAAGATTATGCAACACCTTAAGAACAAAACCTATTTTTAAGAAACACTGTTTTCTCAAATCAGCTCTATTCATATTTCACTGATTAATAACCTTCCAAAATTTTTAAAGATAGAGGTCATTCAATTGGCAGCCACAACCAGTTGTACTAACTCTAGGCATAGTTGTCGGCCAGTTTAAGAATATTAGTCAACAATCAATACAAACAACACATTAAAACAGATTAATCATGCTAAACGAAATTGACATTCATAATAATTGAAACGAAATTGACATTCATAATAATTGAAAGGGTTAACCTCAATATCTGTACTTGCATAAAGAAATAATTCATCTGTCCCGATTCTCATCCGATCAGCTCTGTTTCCAATTTGTTCAACACTCTGCCATGAAGAAGACTCAAGACGGGACGTTACCAACATTTTTCATGAGCATAAAATTGCATGCAAGAAAAAAAAAAGACTATTTAAACAAGAAAGCTAGGATAAAAATTTGGAAAAGTTTACAAGCCATCGACATTTCCCCTATTTTGTTTCCATGCATTACAAAGCCAAAACACAAGCATAATTTTCCAAAATTGAAACCATGTAGATCTTTATACACTCCCTTTGTCCAAATTTATGTGGTCTAGACATGGAGCTTCAGAAAGAAAGAAAGATTTTTGAAACTTGTAGTCTAAAACAAGCCATACACATTTGTGTGGCTACAAATCATCTCACAAAGAGCAAAATGGTAAGTTAAAGTTAAGTTGTTTCTAAATATAGAAAGGTATCATTCTTTTTTTAACAAAATAAAAAGAAAAGTGTGCCCCATAAAATGGAACATAGGGAATAATTGCTATTCACTTTCCCGTTTTCCAGTTAAACCAATCACTTTTCCTTCGTAGACATGTTTCTCAGTCAAGTAACCATATGCTCAACCTGCATGAGAATCAGCTACCTCACTGAAAAGGTGAATATGGTAAAGCTACAGAAGTGATTTATGCATCAACGAAGATATTACTAACAACAGTTACTCAGAACCAGCCCAATCAAAACTCAATTGACAATTGTAACTACAATGGCAGTTACAGATAGCACCTAAGCCTTCATAAACCATCAAGTTTATCTATAGACATACAATATATGTCATTTATCAAAAAGAGAATCTGTTATGACAAAGTAAGCTTTTAAATTGGTTTATGTTTTGCCAATGACAGGAATAGGAATAGGTTCTATGTTGGAGTATTTCTACATTCATGCCCATGGTAGAATTTCAGTTTTAGCAAATACAGCGCCATTTTAAGCTGTAAAAGCAAAAAGGCACTGCTCAATTAGGAATTATAAACACCCACCTCTTCACCAGACACATAGAGAACAGGTGCTGGTCCCCCCATATCACACCCCTCTGCAACTATGGCTGCAATCTTGCAATAGAGAGTAACATAGTCAAAGTGATTGGAGAATATTAGATAACTTCAAATGATATGACTTAGAACCAAAAATTTATGTCTGCACACAGCATCATACCTGTAACAATAGCGTGCTCTTGCCAACACCCGGATCACCGCCAACTAAGACTAAGCAGCCTGCAACATAGGGAAAAAAAAAAAAAAGAATCAGTCCGTATTGAGAAGGTAGAGACCAAATAGCTCCCAAATAAATTAAAGTCAAAATGCTCCACGAAAACAATGGGGATAATTCTTAAACAGTGAGAAGCAGAGACCAAAGACGGCCTAGAGAGTGACTGTACATATAGCAGCAATTATTTATCTGCAGGCACATATTATTTTGGTTGAGGCTCCTAAGTCCATCTGTGGCAAGTTCAATGCATATCCTTTTACACTGCTCACCACAACAAATACAGTAAAAGCAAAATACAGAATGAACAACTTCTGGAAGCTTGCATTTTCTTTTTTTATTTGCAGGTGGATAACTTTGAGTGCTATACAGAAAACATTCAGGCTTCTCAAGAAATTTCAAGGTTAAAGTGAACATGTTACACGTTAGTAACATGATCTCATTAATAACAGAGTAGTAGGCAGGCTACATTACTTAAGTTATTTTTGGAATTTTTCGCGGAATAGTATAGATATTTGGGTATACCTGTCTAATGCAGTACTGCTGTCAAACTAGAGATGGAACTTGGGTAATGAAGGTTGTTACCATCAGTACTTGGGCTTCTCCTTGAATTCTATGATACAGATGTAACCATACGGTGTTGTGCCCACTGAATAAAGGAGTCATCAATTAATTGCGCACTTCCTTTTTTGATAAGGCTAATTTTAATTCTATATTTCTCTTTTCCTCCTTATTCCAAATTAGCAAGTCGAGCCCTAAAAACCACCCCATTTCTAAGCACTTAACATAAATCATTATAAGTCAAGAATTTCCTCAACTATAGTGCCTCAACCCTAAACATGTGGGTGAGTTCTCCTCCTTCGTTATAATTTAGCTTCAGCCAGTTTCTACCAGGATGCATACTGACAGATACAATAACAAACTCAGTGAAATCCCATAAGTTGGGCGGGATGCATACTGACAGATGTTTGATTAAATTGAAAAAGTTTACTTCACTATCCACAAAGCGTCAAAATGACAACAAACATTAGGAAAACCTGCAGCCAAACTACTAGCAGTAGACATATAGCCAAAATTTAGTGACACTAGAAGGAACCGCTTTAAATGATTTCCTAAATAAGAACTTGTTCTGAATAGATTTTAACACATTCCGCACTTCAAACATTCTGTGAAACCTGATCTCTTTTTTTTTTTGGGTTAATTTTTATAAACCTGAACTATCTTTATGAAATTTTTTGACTGAATACATTTTGAATTTTTTCAGTTGAGATTGCGAGTCATAATGAACTTCATGTATAAAAATAGGGACAAAACAAGGCAGTACCCGGCACAAGACCACCACCAAGTACTCTTCCAACTTCAGCTCCAAAGAGGCCAGACCTATACAAGTACAGTATTTCGAAGTGTTCATTGACATTTTGCAACCATCTTCACATATTAATGTCAAAGTCAAAAAGGCATACTCATGCAAAGATATGAACTAGATAAAGACAAGCAACATTCATTTTTTTATATTATTATGAAATTCAAAGTTCCACTTAGATCAAATTCATTTATGACTGCCACTTTACTTACATAGGGATTCGCCAATTTAATTGATTGATCCCTTTATTTACATCCGTCAATTTCGTAGGCATGGCTTTAACAGACTGATGAGGCAGCCACGACCTTGTCACATTCTCAGTGACCTCAAACCCACTCGTAGGACGCTCTATCCCTTCCGAAAATCGCTTCATTGTATTAACACCATTACACTGCTTACAAATCCCCCACCATTGCCCATCATCATAACCACAATCACTACACACCCACACTGTTTTACTACTCTTCCCACCCTTCCCCTTTTTCTTGGTACCATTCCCTAGAACTTCATAAACCCTAGTCTTTACACCGTTGGAATAATTTCCATTTACTGCAGTCGAGTTAGACTCTGTTTGCGGGGTGTGTTCGTCACTAGGGTTTTTTTGACTTGTTGAAGGGGCAGCCCAGCCTTGTACGGCGGCGTCGGTGAGAGAGGTGGACTCTTTAGGAATTTGTTGACGGGGAGTTGATCGGAACTGGCGGGATTGTTTAGGGTATTGGGAGGAATTGCATAGAATGGTGAAACGGAGGGATGAGAGGGGGGGTTTTGGAGGGAGATTGAAAAGGTGTTTTTGGAAGTGGAGGGCTCTCAGTGCTTGCATGTCTGCTACTTGCATTAAAGAGAAAGAGGGCGCTGGGATTTTTATAGGCGCAAAATTTGAACAGACCGCTCCCCCTGTCCGATAAACGGTCGGAAATGGAAACCTTTCTTTTTCCCGGGGTCCGAAACGGAAACTCACCCCTCTTGGCTCTTATATCAACACAATTGCAATTAATTACTCACACGGTTCGCTTTTATTTGGTATCTTTACTAAAAATATATTTTTACTTTTACTTATTTATTTTAGTAAATCAAAATAAAAAAAAAATAAAAAAATTTGTTTTACCTTTACCGCTAATTACTAATTTCCAAAATTATTTTTTAAAACTTTTTTATCATTATTAGAAATTATAAGGTAAAATATATACTATAATAATTATATTTCTGGAGCGTGAAAAATTCAAAATAGAGTAAAGGGAGTGAGTACTTCCTAATCGCCGACTTGTTAGGAATAGTTGTACCCGTTTTACATAATGAATTTAACTTAGAAGTATACTTTAAATAGTGTAAAGAATTTTTTATCCAATTAAAATAATTTAATAATATGTTGTGACAGGTAGTGTCTTCTTTTATAGTAGATAACAAATACAATCTATTACGGTTAGTGGCCAAGCGAAAACTCTCCAAAAGTGTAAAATTGAAAAAAGTAAAAAAATCTTCTGATAAAGCACCATCTATCATGAGATTTTTTTATTTTTTTCAATTCTGAACACTCTTAGATATATATATATATATATATATATATATATATATATATATATATATATATATATATATATATATATATATATTACTTATAATTATAATTTATTTGACTTTTTCACATTATTAATGCATAAAAATTAAACTATTACATAAACTTTAAACAAATTAATTAACGTATACCTTTCCTAAAAAACACTTGCATGTATTGTACAAAATGCATTATTTTGCACTTCTCAAGAGGTAAACAAATTAATACTGGTATACTTATTAATTTCTAAAATGTATATTCATTGGAGATAATTAATTTGGTGTCTTTACTCATTAATAATAACAGTTAAGCATTTCAGTCCCTTCACTATGAAAAAGATTTTAATAGTCGTGGAAGAAAAAATAATAAAAGAAATTGATAAACAAGAAATTAAAACCTGAAGACATATAAAATCTCTCTATATATATAGAGAGAGAGAATGAGCACACAGGAAGTCAACATACCTGCTTGGCATGGCTGAGGGTATTGCAGTAATTTCATGAAAATTGAGCAACATGATTGGCCGAAAAGCAATTTTACTGTAGTTATAACATAAATTATTCAGTGCCTTGACGAAACTACCCTCGGCTGTCAAACCTCCTTGTTCCCGAAAGGATAGGGGATAGGGGAGTTTTTCCAATTAAAGTGACAATATTCGAAATGAGATTATTTATTCGATTAGAGTCGCCACTTGGAATAAGTTATGGTGTCCCAAGTCACCAGTTTATTTTAAATCCCAAATCGAGGAAATTTGACTTTATTTATGGTCTGCGAACACAGAAAACCGGGTAAGGAATTTTGTTAACCCGGGAGAAGGTGTGAGGCACTCCCGAGTTCCGTGGTTTTAGCACGGTCGCTCAACTATTAATAATTGGCCTAATTATCTGATTTAATACATGTTTTAAAACCTAATGTGCATTTTTATCTTCTAAAACGCTTTTAATTATTTATGGAATTATTTTCGGAACAAGTCACGATGTCGTACACTTGTCGTTTTGGCACACGTCACAAACCGCGCCACATGAAATGCATCCACGATTGACGACATGCTTATTTTTATTATCATTTGAAGTTACGGTCAAGTCGCGTGAAACGCGC